TAATATCGTAACTATCCGAAATAAAGCTCATGCCAATGGCCTAAGTAGTCACCTTTAATATTAAAAAAAAAAAAAAATTAAATTAGTAATTAGATCTGTCAAAAAAAATGCCACCTAGGTCACCTGCGGGTGGATCCATGAGCCACCCGAGTAGAACCCAGGTGGTTAAAAAAGCAACCCTTCAGGTGAATTCATGAGTTATCTAGGTGAAAATAGAGCATTATAGCTGGTTTTCATAAATTTTGAAAAAGCTAAAAAAATTGTCGATGACCAAATTGATAAGCTTCAGAAGTCAGTTACAGTAGTAGTAGCATTTTGGGTAAATTCTCAATTATTGTTACTTTTTTTTTTTTTTTTTTTACCAACTATCTTATGCTTTATATCTTTATTTTAGGACTTTATATATATGATTACAATAGTGATTCGAGCAAGTTCTGCATTTATTTGTTTTTTATTTTTTTTAAAAAAAACCTAATTTTCTCTTTTTAAATAAGAACTTTGAACCTTTTTACATGGAATTGGATAATAGTAGCAATGCTTTGGGTAAGTTTACAATTATTATCATCTTTTCTTTTAATTACTAACTTATGCTTTTATATCCTTATTTTTAGGTAAAGATTCAGTATCTTTAGAACTACAAATATATGATGATAATGATTCAGGCAAGTATTGCATTTACTTTTCTTTTTTTTCTTTTTTTTTTTTAAAAAAAAAACAAAAATTTTTCTTTTTAGATGATAACTCTGAATCTTCTTATATAGAATCAGATAATAGCAGCAGCATTTTGGGTAAGTTCTTAATTATTATCATTTTTTCTTTTAATTACAAATTTATGCTTTTACATCTTTATTTTTAGGTAAAGATTTAGTATTTTTAGAACTAGATAATGATGATGATTTAGGCAAGTTCCATATTTACTTTTTTTTTAAAAAAAAAAAAAAACTAATATTCTTCTTTTTAGATAAGAACTCTGAACTTTCTTACATGAAATCAGATAATTGTGGTAGTACTTTGGGTAAGTTCTCAATCATTATTACTTTTTCATTTAACTATTAACTTATGTTTTTATACTTTTATTCTTAGATAGAGCCTTGGTATCTTTACAGTGGCAAATAAATAATCATGATAGTACTTCGGGCAAGTTCATATTTACTTTTTTTATTGTACTTTATTTTATTTTTTATGTTTTTGACTTTAGACAAGAATTTAGAACCTTCACACTAGCAGCTAAATAAGAATAATCTAGCTCTTGTAGATATTACAAACTGGAATTCCAATACCCTATATGAAATTTTGCAAGCTACTGCACGTTGAGATATTCAGCTTTACATAGAAAAGATAACAAATCAGATATTAAAAAAAAGAAAAATCGTTGATTTTCATATTAGTAATTTCATTTAGATAAATATCCCAAAGATTAATTGATTTGAAATTGATCATCCTATGATTTCCTGCAAAATTGTAGACAAAGTTGGAGAAAAATACCGATTGGGGTGCAAATATGGCATTATAAATATTTGTTATTCACAAGAAGAACTAGAATGTCTTGGTATCACTGTTTATTCTGAACTTAATGAGATTCCATCACATGAGTTGTCTGTTCAAGAAGCAGCAAGACTTCAAAGTGTAGAATTGGTTTCAAATACTATCTGTAACTATAAAGGATCGTGCAATAATTATAAATATAGATGTAAAAAAGGAGAAGAAAATTGTACAAGCCGATGCCATGGTGAAAAATTATATTTGAATAAGGAATAATTCAGAATTAAGATATTTTAATAATACAATTTAAATTAGTTTTTTATATAAATTAAAACCTAATCTATAATTCTGATATAAATAAAAATGATACTATTGTGTTAGGTGTTTGAGATTTTTTTTTTGTTCTAAATAATAAAAAGTTGTAGGTCCATTTCAATAGTTTAATATAGTAGTATAAAGCTTTATTTAGTTTAGTAAAATATATTACAATACTGCACTACTAAAAAGGATTATAATTGAAAATTTGTGCATATTATTTTTTTTTATTATAATATTTTTAGTTGCCTCAAATGCTGATTGAGGCATCTTAGATGACAACCGAGGTACCTCAGGTAACTGATTGACAGGTTACACACCTCATCTGATGATTGACATCTGAGGTGCCTTGGTTATCACCTAAGGCAAGGATTGATCTGAGGCACAACATATCTATGAAATAAGGTAGCAACAATATTCCTTGCACTGCTAATATTTGTTTTGTATCAACAACTAAAAATAATATTTCTAGCAGCAACTCAAGCTGCTAATAGTTTGTGTATTATTAATAATCGATTAAGATTGTTTTAAGTAATATAAGTATAGAATTTAGCATAATAACTAGTAGAGTATCAAGTCTAGAAATAACAAAGACAAGTTAAGAGCTAATATGGTTTGGCTGAAAATACTTAGTACAAGAATAATCAGATATGTTAGTTTGAAGTATAGTGGCAACAAGAGCAAAGTTAAGTTGGTATTGTGCTTGGTAATTAATAATATTTTGGTTATAAAATTCTGTTATAGAATCTTCTATAAAAAAAATTAATAAAGTTCGAATAATTTAGTAGTAATGCAAATGAAAATTATCTTCTAGAGATAATTATAAATACAATATATAATTAAATAATAATAAAATAAAATAAATAGCAATATAATAATAAATAGAAATGTAATAATAAAATAGTATGCATACAAAGAAAGATTTAAACAATTATAACAAAGAAGTAGTGATATTAAATAACAATTTCAAAATTTTAATTTAATTCAATAACAAAAATAATTTTAATTTTACTATGCCAATGACTTGCAAAAGGTAAAATATAAACTTTTTAAATTTTTAAAAAAATAAATATAGATTAGTAGTTTTATATCTTTAAAATAATTTTATTCCAATTGCTTTTTTTTTTTTTCTCAATAGCCAATCCTGCAATAATTTTCAAGAGAGTAGTTGTAGCCCAAAGATAATTCAAAAGAGATAGTTCCTAGTAAGTCTTAATAAAATCCTCTAGGATTTTATACTTTTTTACTAGAAATTTCATCAAGAGTAGTTTTTTTGGAGTTTAATTTTTATAATTTTTTCTTTTAGCTTTTCTTTTTATTTTTGCTAGAAAGTACCAAAATATTATAATACTATAGCCTTCTTAGTATAATTATAGCAAAGTAACAAGATTACCTGGTATAGTAATATACTTTATGAATATACATGAGATGGATGTGAAGTGTATACTTTAACTTCATAGCAGGAAGCAAATAGTTTGAAATAATAATAGTTTATAGATAATAATATTTATTAATAACAAATTTACAGTGATAATCTTGTCTATAGAAATTACTTTAGAGAAGGAATATCACACTTTACAAGTAGAAAAGGATAAAGAGGTGGGCTAGATTCTATGAGAGGGTAAAGAACTCTAACTTGGGTAGAAAGGGCAAAGACTTCCTTTTTATAACTTTTTAATAAATAGAAATGTAATAGTATAATTGCTTAACTATGTAAAGATACTTAGAGATACTCATACAGAGGCACTCAGAGATATTCTATATAGAGGTACTTAGAGGCACTTTGTACAGAGGCACTTTGTGTAGAGGCACTTGGAGATACTTTGTATAAAAGCAGGCACTTTGATTTTGAAATACTTTGTATAAAGGCATTCAGAAGCACTTTGACTTTGAGATACTTTGTGTAGAGGCACTCAGAGGCACTTTGTATAGAAGTACTCTGAAGCACTTTGTGTAGAAGTACTTGGGGGTACTTTGTGTAGAGATACTTGAAGGTAATTTGTGTAGAAGCACTTGGAAACACTTTGTGTAAAGGTACTCAAAGGCACTTTGTATAAAGCCACTTAGAAACACTTTGTATAAAGGTATTTGGAAGTATTTTGTATAAAGACACTTAGAGGCACTCTGTATTGTGTACTATCTTACTTAGCTACAGTATTACTATGCCCTATTTTATTACCCAATAGAATCTTCTCTATTCTAAATATATTTAACTATTTCTTAATTGGTAAAGATTTGCAGGCAAATTTGGCTGCATAATTACTATAAATATGTCTCTGATCTACTTTTTTAATTA